ACTGTTGTCTGGCATGTTTGGGGGCTGTCACAGATTAGGGCAATATCGTCCGCATACTCCAAGTCAATAATCCGCTCACCAGGAAGTAGCTCCATACCTTCTAAGTCGTGTCCAGCGAACGCTGTTTCCATGCTTTGGTCAGTGATAAGTTAAAGTGAAAAGGTGACAGCGGACAACTTAGTCTCACAACGCTCGTGATACTGTAGGACGGCGACAGTTTGCCATAAACCCTCAATCTACCCGAACTATGCGCTTACAGTGCTTTATCAGGCACATCTTTTCTCAACGGACACATCAATCGACTGAATCGAAACACGACAACAGCGGGTCGCCAATAAACATGGCGGTGCTCCAACAGTTGATGCAAGATAAAGATGTGGTCGATGCAGCCCCGATCTCGACGAACCTCGGCTTGCTCTTCACGAAAATGGCTCTCACGAGTGGAGAAAGACAGATTCAAGCAATTTGAGGCAATTGAGATCAGATTGGTCTGTGACGGAGCGGCCCCAGTCTGTCGGGACAGTCTCCTGCCCCCAAAGTTTCACTAGCAACTGGTGTAAATCATTTACCAAAGCGGGTCACCTGAATTTGAAGAGGGCTAAAAATTATATCTGCCGCTGTGACCTTATGCAATTTCAACAGCCCGATCTCACGTTCGACTTCTTCGCGTGAAGGCGCCTCCAAGGAGACGGCTCAGGTAGAAGGGCGCTCAATTTCCGAAAATGGAAACGATAACGTAAGTTGGTTAAATTGCTTGCACAATGTTCGGCCCAACACTCCGAACGTTTTGACAGGCTGTTGATCGGCTATCCACTCTCGTCGCGTATGGTCTCGCTAACACCAAGTCTCCTGCTGCCTGTTTCCCATATCAGACGGAATAACTTACGATGGTTACCAACGGCAGCGGCTGTTTTCATCTCCGAGGTACAACGAGACCACCAGGCTTCCCGGTGTTTCTTCAAGCTAGCACGCAGTTTTGCTCTGCGCTTTTACTTGTCTCATTGTATTCAATTCCAGTCTGAATATGTTGGCAGGCGTCCAGAAGTTACAGTGACTGTGTCCAGTTTGGCAATTTGATTTGCCATATGAAGACATGCTTGATGATAGGAACATTGGACGAATATGCATCCAGTGATCTTCGACCGTGTTTAATGGGCGCTTACTCAGCCCAGATGTCAGCGCACTTTGATACACCTTTGGAACACCTGACTTCGCCAGCTGGCTGGTGTGAATCCGTTCACATCTACGTTGCGGACGTCCACAGAAACGCACCCGTTCTGCGTAAACAAGTGCGTGGTCAGAGTCCACACTCGTGTTCCAAATCGAGCGACAGTTTTGGACACAGCCTCTCTAGCGGTAACTGATCGCGATATGGTCGATTTGCGTCCGCGGCTGGTGGCCGCCAAGTCACGCTTCTGCCGGGTGCTGTGTCGAAAGTTTATGCTCGCGAGAAAGAGACGAGCATCTTCACACAGCTGTAGCAATCGCTCACCGTTATCATTACGGGAGCCTACACCATGTTGGCCGCCCAGTTGAAGCTCATCAGAAGACAATTTTCCGACTTGGACGTTTAGATCGCCAGCCAACACCACAGTATCCGTGCTTCTTCTGTAACGAAGGAGCTCGTGAAGTTGCTGATAGAAATCATTTTTTACCGAATCAGTATTACGGTTTGTAGGGGGGCGTAGGCCGCACTGACAAACAGGCACCGTTTGTTCCTGTGCGACTTCCTAGCTTGGGACGAACCAACTAATCCAACGGCGTACATCCGACTATTGACTGGGATCCAATCGATCAGCGCAGCTTCAGCCCGGTGACTTAAAACAATGCAGACGCCAGTTTGACTGGCATTTGAAGCTGCATCATCGCCGGACAGGCGCAATGAGAATGTGCCGCCAGTGTTGCATATGGGGATGGCAGGGTAAGCAATGAACTCGAATCTTGCAAGCGGGTTTCTGATAAACAGCAGATATGGATCGATAGGGTCTCTAATGTTCGGACAAGTGTTGACTGTTGGCCAATCTGCAGCAAAGTACACACGTTTAGGCATGCCAGTCTTAGCGAGACGCGAGGACTCCAATGGGAAACGGCGGAACTGACGTTGTCCGCTTGGTTGAACATGGACTTATCGACTGGATTGGAGCGACACCCTGCGACTGTGTGTGAGTTCAAACTAGAAGACAAGCGACTATTGAAGCATGGTGGGGGAGGGCCAGGAATTGAGGGATTGAAAATGGGGGATAAAAGTAAAGCTGGAGCGGGACAATTAGAATGAAAAAGCGCAAGAAGAGGAATAAGAAGGCAGAAAGGCCTGAGTAGTAGCATCTAAACCCCTATCCACCCTGATCGATATAGCAGATCGGGCGCCGTTGCTTATCCTCTACGACGGCCAAAGCATCAATAAATTGTTAGAAGGTTCATTGTATTGCGTGGGCAGGATGCTGTCTGGTTGCCCAGGCCTAGACCGGAGACCGATTATGGTTCTCAATCAAAGCCTTTGGTTCAAAAATCTTACCGCAAAGCAGTGGGGTTTTGGCACTCGACTACAGAGAGCTAGTTACTCCAACCCCCAACCTGGAGGGCCAGGAGACTGAGTTGGTCTGCCTTATAACCATTGACCAGTCTGGTATGAGTGGCTCTGAAGGTGCAAAAGAAGCACAACCCAGCATAGCTCAATGGATCACTGAGGCACACAAACCATCGCACCATGTTAAGGTCCAGTCTCGTCGCGATGGGCTATCTTTGTTCCCGTTTCCTATTCTTCTTATCGTCCACCTCTTGGCAGTTGTTTAAAGGCTTCACTTCTTTAATTCGATTGGCATACGCACGTCGTTCTTAATGGTGGACGCTCACCTTACGTCTCAGTTTTAGCAGCATCCTTTTTACGAACATATTTAATTGTCCTTTAATCCCATAAATTTTTGTTTGGTTATGTTAAGGGCATATATAGTTGACATATACTTTTGTGGTAGTTTGCATTTCTTCCTATCGTCTGTTTTGTGACCCTTGTCTAAACACGCCATTTCGTTATTCGGATTTACCAGCACCCGTCGTGGTGAATGCTTGTTCACTTTGCTGTTTGGGTCCCATACCGCCATTTCCTAGGACGTATCCGATTCGTTCTCCATTCCGCTGTTGCTCATTCGCTTGTCGCATTTGGCGTTTTCCATCTTCTTGGTTAGCTCGAATACTTTTTAGTAGTTTCTCTTCAACTTCGACTTCTTGACTTAGAGTATGCTGATGATATTGCCCTAATCTGTGACAGCTCACAAATGTGTCAAGCGGCACTGGACAGATTAGCACTAGCTGTCCGTCACTTCGGGCTTTGCTTCGCACCCTCGAGTGCAAAGCGCTCCTCCAAGATTGGTCTGGACCGCCTCCTACGCTGACCCTTGGTGGGGATCAGCTAGAAGTCGTTGAAAAATTCAACTACCTGGAAAGTTGTATCAGCACCCGTTGGATTGAAGATGAGATCACGAACCTTATAGCAAAAGCTCGGGGCGTTTTTGCTAACCTTCGCCACTTATGGCGGCGGCGCGACATCACTCTCACCCTGAAGGGTAGAGTGTACAATGCAGCAGTACGTTCGACCCTACTGTACGGTTGTGAAACCTGGCCGCTTAAAGCAGCGGACCTGAAGAGGCTAGTTACGTTCGACCACCCGTGCCTTCGTAATTTAGCTCACATCTGGTGGGAACACCGCGTGAACAACGAGCGTGTTCGACGCCTTGTTTATGGCACAGGAAAAGAACCGCTCAGCACCGTCATTTCACGCACCAGACTCCGATGGCTGGGCCACGAGTTGCGCATGCCAGCCCACCGACTCCCACGACGTGTGTTGTTTGCGCGCCGGGGGTGTGGATGGAAGAAGAGGAGAGGTGGCCAAGCGATGACTTGATCGAGAGGAATGAAGGTCCTCACTTCTGAGTTGGCCTCGGTTGGAACGTCTTGGCTCTCTGGTTGGGGTCCGAACGACGATGAACACGTTTGGTTGGACACACTTGCTGATATGGCAAGGAGCCGGCCTCAGTGGCGTTCGTGCTGTGAGTTTCTATGTCCCACACCATCCCTCTTAGTCTCCCCCTCCAACTACGATCTCACTATTTAGCCTCATATAATTTTGCAAAGTAATTTTTTTTGATGCACAGTAGCCGGCTGGTGGCTTATCGGAACGATGCCCATCCGTTACCGGTCGCTCAGTCGGCTGGCAACAGTTGCATTTTTTTCTCCTTTTTTCTATGTATTGCGACACAGTAGCTGAGGTGTTTTCCACCTCTGGCTAACGTGTATGATGATGAGTTTCTCTTCAAAACTATGTCAGCCCGTGGCAAATAAGGCATAGAATTCTTTCTCGACTCGTCTTTGGAGTTCTTCTTGCTGTTGTGTGTCGCAGACAGTCGGCGGTGACATAACAATCTAGTCATTCCTGTCCACAACCATTACCCATACAGCGACCCGGAGATTTCCCGTTATGTTACGCACTGCTGTGTGAAAATCTTAGCATTGTTGTTTCCTAAGGTGCTTAGGGAAATTTAAGCCGCTTGGTTATTCTAGAGTTGCCGGTATTTGTTTAAGTCAGCACACACACACACACATGCATCTTTTTGGAACGGAATGCGGTGGTTACTGGCTACGCACGCTGCGGTTTCACACACTGTTCTTACTTGGACATCACTCTGGTACCACGTTTAGCCGTAGTTGGTGTACAACTGCTCTAATAAATGTTTGTCTAACCTATTCCCCTGTGTACTATCCTTTATTTTTTCAATTGGTCGCCTTTCCACCTGTTTGAGCTTCAGCGTACTGACTATCAACTTATTCCCGACCCTAACCTTTTAATTATTGCGCTTGTGGGCCACCACATATTTATACTCATAACTTTCGTAAATTACCGACGCATTAACCTTTCATTGTTTTGTCTTGAGGAGGAACTATTCAGTGTCCCAGTTACAGCTTGGTTAATGTTTAACACCTAACTACTGTTTTCATGTGACAACTAGGAAAGTCGACCGTCGCAAGAGACTGGCGACACTTGTGAACAGCGCCTCGAGGCAGCCGAACGGGAAGTGAACGAATTGCGGGGGAATTTGGCCGAATGCGCTTCGATTCTAGTCAACTATCGTCAGGAATCTGAAGTGCAAGCCGAGAAGCTACGTTCCCTGACCGAGGAGTTACGAGTAAGTGAATGGGTGGTTTCGCTGGCATATGTGTGCGCAAACGGACAGAACGTCTGCGGCGGACACTGACGAAAGTAGACATTTTCTGTCCGTATGTTAGCGCCTTAACTTGTTCAAACTGGGCGTCCTTCCACACAACAACCCAAAATGATGAAAGCGGCTAAACGGCTCAACTCCATCTTCTTATTATTCCTTGAACACTAACCGACACATTTCATCCGTTTAGTAATGTGTTTGTATACTTTGGTCAAATATTGTCCTTGAGCTAGACGAATTCAAAACTTCACGGGTTTTGATGCGCCACATAGCTCTTCTGCTAAGAGTAGCTCTGAGTTATTCAGCTCAACGTATGACGGGATTACAACTGCCTCTGTTTCTTTGACGCGGTGCAGTCACTTCGATTTCCAACCAGTTCCTCGCCGATCGACAGGGATGCACAGACATCAAGAAAAGAGGTTAATTCACGGTCTCAGCAATCAGTCAAGCGGTTTTATGCGAAGTCGGAAACTCTTGTCTACAGTCCAACTCACGGTACAGTAGGCTTCAAGGGTTTATTAATCCCTTTGCCTCTTTTTCTGTACTACCCTAACAACACACGCATGGTAACCCGCCGTATTCATTGGTAGCAAGTTCTACTCTCTATGAATATCCAGATTGGTCCCACCAAATCAACTGTTACATGTCTTTTTCATCCGCCTTGGGATTGCAGCAGTGCCCATTAGCTATTGAGGGTGGTATCTACCGTAGGTCTTCTTATGATTGAGATCGCTTGCGCCGTCGACTATACTGGAGAGCAGACATGCCTTGCACAAGGGTCGCATAACGTAGTGGATCATCTTTCCACGGGCTTCTCGATAACGGCTCTGCCGCCTCACGATAATCGGAGCAGCCAACTCTAACGTTTGTTGTCTGACCGGGTTGATGGATTTGGGTTACGCATGACATCACAAATGGGACTTGAGACGGTTTCGAATTGTTCATCTGGGGTGTATTGTGAGCCTCCATGATCGTTAAAATGCTCGTTTGTGAGGATGATAAAAGGGGTTTCATCTTTCGCTTCGCGCATGGACACCTCGGCCCGTGGCTGAGGCGGCTGGCCTGCAACCCAAACGTCGCCGACTCGATTCTCCGTAAGTGTGGACGACATCACAATATCGATAGCTTACACACAAAGCCTCAGTAAGGCATGCTGATTTAGGCTGATAACTACCTGCTCTTCCCGCTCATTCCCACTGTTTTGTATTCTTGCTCCTTAGGAGGTCGAAGAAGCTCGTGGACGTAGTCAGGACAGACTGAATGAAATCGAACAACGACTATACGAGGCCGAAGCACAGAACCGAGCTTTGCTTAAAGCTGTTGAAATGCCCGCAAGCCCTGGACGTTCGGAAGAATCCCCGTCGAATGGCAGAGCGAGTGGAAACGGTCAGTCGACCAGGAAGAGGAGTTCGAACGCAAATTATGAACAGGTACGTCCTATGCTTTTGCATTGAGAAGCATAGCATTTCTAACGGGTCGCCAAGCCGCAGTAGTATGCTTTCTTTTCTAATATTCACAGGAACCGAACAAAAGAGGCTCAGATCAGACGGAACTGATCGAAGAATTACGCAAGGAAATAGTCGAGGCAAAGAAAGAGCGAGAACAAGCGGAGTATAGGGCGGAACGGATCATCACAGATTTACGCGCACAGCTGAGTCAATCCGACGCGACTAATCACAGTTTACAAGCCTATTTGACTTTCCTCAAGAGGTCCTACGCTAGTGTGTTTCAACCAGTACTCACCGGGGATACGCATGCTGGGATCATGATGAACGGTGACTCCACAAAGCTCGGCTCGTGTGGAAGGGCAAGTGAGCTATGCGTGGACGCCTCCGATCAATGGACACGACAATAACCTTGATGCTCCGCTGATCTGATTTATCGCTTCCATTTGCTGCTGGCCATGCGCTGTCATACAGACGAATACACACACGCACGCTCACGTACACAGAGATCTATATATATGGCGTGTCAGCAAATATGCTGTTTATTTTAAGTTTTGTTTATGAATTATTAACTTCTTTGCTACTTCAAACAACTTAAAGTACGAAAAGACATTTTTCCGCTTCCGCATTCGTTCTCCGTTGCATGTATCCTCACAACTTTGTGTCCCATTCGCGCCTGATTTTCGGGTGGAAGGAGCCTAATTCACCTTCTGCGATATTTTTTCAATCCACCTTTCTCCGGCGGTTGTGTTTTGTTAATCAGAGTCAGAGGCTAGGAATCTTGATCTCAGTTAGGCCGTCAAATTGACGTGCGTCTCAACCCTTATGCATTTTGAGTGCCTCGTAGCGGGACACTATCACCGGAAGCTGTTCTTTTTTATCGTGGGTTTGAGAGGTGTATGTGTCCAGCGTTGCATTTTTCATCATCATAGTCCCATTGCTTGCTGCTGTATGTTCAATCGTAACAATACTCTCAGCTCAAACCAAATGGTGTACTGCTGCTGCTCTTTCTTCGTTGGCCCGTAGCCTTAAGGGTCAGAAGCCTGTCTTGTGATCGAAGGGCTCGCGTTCAGGCCTGCATAGGAACCCGGCGACCGTCGCAATATTCTTAGCCCACATACGACCGGTAGTGGTTGTGCGGGCATCTAGCGCCGGTACTGAGTATCGGCGTACTGCTGATGCCTTACCTTACCTTGATCGAACGAAACGCGATACTTCGGGTGCATATTACGGGTATTCCGATGCATCACTTGGATCAAGAATTGTTTCATCTCGCTTAACTTTGGAGTTAACTGATTTATGCATTTTGAGCTATCCTTGTAGCACGAACTCTCGGATTTCTCCTTCTTAGCCACCGTCCCCTCACAAAGGCAAACTCATTGGAGTTCCACCATCTAACGCAACTATTCCTCTGAATTAGAAAAACCAGTAGAACTCGAACATTTGTTCTCCACCACGTCATCTTATTTGGTTTGGTTTTACTTTGCTCCCTTCTCCCAGCGCGGGTTCCTGACAGATCGATGAATGATCCACTGCTGCTCTGGTCTTTTCATTTATCTATGTGCTTCCCACCTCGTCGTAGCGACCGTTGGACGTGGTGCAGGGCGATCTTTCCGACCAATAATAAGGACACATGAGCGCGACGTCTCTTCTGCCGTTTTTCGGGTGCATGTTGCATCTAGGGCTTTGATTAAGGACCAGAGTCGTTCCAAGGCCCGACTGTGGGCATCCTGATCAGTCAAACTACCAAACATGCCAATCGCAATTACCACTGATCTCAGATTGCATCGGCCTTCATCTAGTGGGAGGAAAGAGTCGCCTTAGATGCTGCTTGTTGCATGGAAAATCTGTTACTACACTGGTGCTTTCATTCTTTCTTCGGCCCCTTCCTTACTCTCGATCCTCCAAGTCCTGGCTTCACTTGATCTATCCACTTTATCTCTTATTAATCCAAGCTCCCCACCCCTACGATCTCCTGTCGCCACGGTATGCTCCTGCACTAGTCGCCTTGGAAATCTTTCGTTATCTTATTGATGTTCTCATGAATTGGAATTTTTTGATGTACCTCATAGAGATTACTTCGCAGCTTTCCAAATCAGATGGTACTTCACATGTCCGGACATTGGTTTCTTCCTGTCCCGGCATCTTCAGTTGTGCGGACCCATCAAGGTTGGTACACATGACCGCCAGCCAGCAACTTATGCTACGGAACCATGTTTGACTGCGACGTGCCGTCATGATTTATAAGCTGTGTGATAGCACCTCCCATTCTCCACTGCCATCCAAGTTACGAACGTTGCGGAGGACAGGGTTGGCTCTGAAAAGCACGACTTCTACACTCAGTAGCTGTGGATAACCTAGCATTTAGGGCAACTATTCCGATGTACTCACAAGCAGTCTTGGTGAAACAAACAGTTTGAGAAAAGGATAAGCAGCGTCGGTACTTGTCCTCTTGCTGGATAGGGTGCACGGGGTCTGCACCACACGGCGCAGCCATTCATAGCTGACACTCTTGCGCTCATTCACTTATTTATAATTTCTAACTGCTCTATTTGACGGCTTACATTCTAGTTTATTTCGCCTGGATTATTGATTGCAATATCACTTAATGCGGTTGGTTCCCTCCAAAAATTTGAAAAGCACAGTAACAAGACGAAAGTTGATAGGTGTATGCACTTCGTATTGTCTCCTCAGTACCATTAACTATAACCGGTATGCAACTATATACTTAACTATGGGCGTGACGAAGTAAGCATGAGGTGCAAAATGGATGACAGAAGTTTCACCCCCATGTCCACGGCAGTTTTAAACTGACAAATAATTGTTTTTGAACACACGGGGATGGCTTCATCCGCTTATCGCAACGGCCTCGGCGAGACGGAGGAAGCGGGGATTAGGGTGAGGTAACACAAGTGTGAACGTTGATCCGAGCTCTATCTGGTGACGCGTAGGCAGTAGGTGTTTATGTATTGAGGAAGCTGGCGGCATGCGCAAGCACGGAACTTCAGTGTGACAGGGATGCCCTTTCAATTTCACGTTGAATCCACCTTGGCACGTACTCCTTTATTCGGAAAGCCAAAGACCGTTTGGTTCTACCTATGTAACTGTCTCCGCAGTCACACACGAATTGTTATATACAGTGTGAGTTGGTCCCGATCGGTTGGGCTTCCTTCGTTGGAGGCACCGGCAAGTTACGAGTTCTATTGATGACCACACCCTGAGAAGCATAGTAACCTCTGCGTAGCTGACGTTTCGTGGTTTTCGATACAGTAAAGTCACCCTTGAAGGACAACTCGATATAGATCTTTTTCTTAGCTGCTGTATGCACCAAGTCTTTCTGGTCTCGTTGTTGCCTGTGTTTCTCTATAAATCTACGGAGATAACCATTCACGATGAGTGTTGTAATTAACTCTCGCTCGTCGGCTAGACAATCAGCCGGGCAAATTCGTCTAGCTCGGCTAACTAAACTTTTCACAAGGGTCCGCTTGTACCACATTGGTGTGAAGCTGGTGAAGTGCAGGTATTGGCCGTACCATGTTGCTTTTCTCTAGATAGACCTCTTAATGAGCCCTTCACCACTGCGACAGATGAGGATGTCTAAGAATGGCAGACAGTTCTTCTGTTCCGCTTCGCAGGTGACCCGCAAGTTGGCATATGCACAGTTGCTGCCCTAACTGGACAATTTGCTGCTCCGACGAACAAAAGACCAATATGTGACCCAGCTAACGCTTATAGTATGGTAACTTGGCTATTCCTACGGATATTCCTCTCTCTATCATCAACATGAAGAAATCGGCGAGTACAGGACATAGTGGGCTACCCATTGCCACATGGATTCCTCTAGAAATTCGACCGAAATTGGTAACGAATACCCAGCTCAGTTAGTTCTCATATGTAATCAACAGTTTGTTGTAGTGGGACGTTGGTGAACAGATATTCCACATCCAATTAGCACATGACCTTATCGGGGAGGTTGACGTCATCGATAAGTCGAAAGAAATAAGACTATATTGCTTGGACAGTTATCGCAGAGGCGAAAGTGTCTTCACTAGCCAACGAGCCAATTTCTGCTGCGGTGCATTTACCTTTGATAGAATCGGCCTAAGTGGTACTCCGCTCTTGTGTGTCTTCGGTAATCCATGTAGCTGCGGAGTAGTGCTGCCACTTAGCTTCAAACAATTGTAAGTGTCATTATCAATCACGCGAAGTCCGTGGACTTTTATGTATTGTGTTGTATTTTCTTTTACTAATTCTGTACCTTGTTTTGAGTCCCCTGATTTCTGATGGCTCTTGTCTATTCGTAGACCGTTGCTATATATATATATATATATATATATATATATATATATATATCACAATGAAGGAGAAGCGTTTCAAGATGAGCAGCTATACCAGCTTCAACGTCGGCTACGTTCCCCATCATAGTAAATCGTTCAAATTTGCTCATGTCGTTGAGTGTGCTACCCATCTTCTGCGCGTACTCGGCCTTGTTCATGACAACCTCACTCCAGATTCCTTATCCTGTTTCATCACAGCTACGTTCTTAGAACGCAGCGCCTAAAGATGTCGGCTTCTAAGTGCGCATTTTTCAGTCACTGGCATAGTCTTAACTTCGTGGGCAGTGTCGGTCAATTTGTTTCTAAACCAAACAACACTCACAGGACGGGATGGTTGAAGCTGCTTATATTGATCAAAAAATTTTCAAACTGGACTTCTATAAACAACCCGTTCAGTCTTCTAGGAGGAATTTTGTGCTCAAGCCCATATGAAAATGATTCTAACTGCAACGCGTCAAGTTGTACGTCTGATAAATTCACCACCTACTTACTAGGATCACGAACAATTGGCTCCTCATCCTGGCTGTTCGTAAGCGAGTTCTGCAACCGAGTATTCCGATTTCGTCTCGTACGGTCGAGAGTGGATTTACAAAAGTTGGTGAACACAGTACGACTACACAGAGATAGATCCTCTACCACATGAAGTAGGCGTGCATGAGTTTCCAGTAAACTCAGAAGTTTGGACTCGGCCGTCTCCAAGTAAGCGGATCTCACGCGTTTGTAGTTAATAGACCAAAGGAACACGTGCTAAGGTTTGTTCAACGTGAAATTGACTGGCGTCCCTGTCACACTGAAGTTCCGTGCTTGCACAGGCCGCCAGCTTCCTCAATATCTAAACACCTACTGACTACGCGTCAGTGGATAGAGCTGGGATCAGCGTTCAAACTTGTGGTACGTCACCCTAATCCCGCTTACTCGGTTTCGCCGAGGCAGTTGCGATAAGCCATCCCCGTGTGTGACGAATAACTTTTGTTAGTTTAAGACTGCCGTGGATATGGGGGATGGAACTTTCATCATCCATTTTGCACCTCATGCTTACTTGGTCACGCCCATAATTTAGTATGTATTTTCATGCCGGTTATTGTTAATTGTAATTCGCAAGACACGAGTCGATGCTATTGGACCCCATGCATTTTCTTTTGCTCTGGACAAAGTGAACGTCATTTGTGTGTTGCAACATCGTTTGCTTAGGACTTTGTGAAAAAGAACTTGATATCTTGATGCGTTTTTATATCACCATAGGAAAGTCACATCCTGAGCAAAATGGCTAATCGTGACCTTGAGTCCGCGTGCGTGCTAATCGCTCACTTGTGTACTCATGGTTTTTCACTGTAGCTCAGCGGCGTTTTATCGCACACCCTTGGATCTATTCTTATTCGTGGTGCCTTAAAAGGTTCCACCTTGTGGTACCATTTTGTAGAGTACATTTCAATGAATTCTACATTTACTTTCAATTCTAATTCCGGGCTGCGTTTCGCCGATATCAAACACCAATACTTGCGTAAATGCGAACATAGGAGACATTCTTTGGCCTCACTCGATAGACCATTTTAAGGGCTTTCGAAAGAACTGTCAATCGTTCAAGTCCAACATTGCTTTTGGCAGCTACAGGTCTCAAGACAAATTCACCCGGCGCGATCCATAGGCC